TTTTTGAGACAGAGAGAGACACAGCATGAGCAGGGAAGGGGCAGAGAGAGAGGGAGACACAGAATCTGAAACAGGCTCCAGCCTCTGAGCTGTCAGCACAGAGCCCGACGTGGGGCTCGAACTCACGAGCTGTGAGATCATGGCCTGAGCTGAAGTCGGATGCTTAACCGACTGAGCCACCCAGGCACCCCAGCAGATCAGTAGTTCTAAGTGGCCCTTGAACCAGCGGGCTTGGCATCACCTGGGAACTTTATTCAAAATGCAAATTCTAGTCTCCCTTGATTTATGGAATCAGAAACTCCAGGTGCATGGTCAGCACACAGAGGGATGGCTTAACTAGCCCTTCCGATGATGGTGAAGCTTGCTCAAATTTCAGAAGCACTGCCCCAGGTAAAGGGACAAAAATTGGAGGTGGCGGGAAGGGGGGGCAGGGGGGGTGCGAGTAACTTGCAGCGAAGAACCTTCACGCTACAATTGTTGCAAAGAGGAGCTTCAGGAACCCAGGCACCTCCCCCTTACTCTCTGGGAAATTCTCCTGGAATTAGACTCTGAACTATCGGGGGTTTTCAAAACTACATCCCCAGAGCTCCCACTAAATCAGGCGTAACCCTTTAAGCATTGGAAAGAATAGTGGAGCAACAACCCAAATCTCCATCAACAGTCGAATGGACAAGCAAAATGTGGTCCATTTTTACCCATATTACCCAGCCTTAAACAGGAAGGAAATTCTGACACCTGCTGCACCCTGGATGAACCTGGAGGACATTATCCTCGGTGAAATAAGCCAGACACAAAAGGACAAATCCTACGTGATTCCATTCATAAAAGGTCCCTAGGGGAGTCACATCCATAGAGACAGAAAGTAAGACAGTGGATGCTGGGGCTGGGGAGTCAGTGTGTCATGGGGACAGAGTTTCGTTTGGGGAAAATGAAAAAGTTCTGGAGATGGAGGGTGGGGATCGGTTGCCCAACAGCGTGAATGTGCTTAATGCCACCGAGCTGTGCACGGGAAACTATTATGATCACAAATTTTGTTATGTCTATTTTTACCACAATAAAAAATTAATAGACTTCCTGACCCTGTGAACATATCAATATATCCATGAGTCCATAAGGGTATTAAGACAACAACAGATGGGGCACCTGGAGGGGGAGGGGGGCTCAGTCGGTCAAGCATCTGACTTCGGCTCCAGTCACGATCTCGTGGTCCGTGAGTTCAAGCCCTGCATCAGGTTCTCTGCTGTCAGCGCAGATCCCGCTTCAGAGCCTTTGTCCCCCTCCTTCCTGCCCCTCCCCTACGTGCTCTCTCTCAAAATAAACAAACAAACATTTAAAAACAACAACATCAGCAGAACTCATTCATCACCTTTGAAAATGACAACTGCACCCACTCCTTATTTACCATGCCTTTATGGCAGGAAACCAGCCCCGGTTGATGAGGAAAAGCACTTTTCACAGGAAAACACCAGCTGATGGTGTTGAAAGGATGATAGCAAAATCACTATTTTGAAACCACTAATGAAACTGCCATGGTGGACAAGTCACAGGTGAATGCTAAAACTATTCATTGAGAGGTTGCGGGCCAGGGGGCCGGGGGGGTGGGGGGACTGGATAGTCTCGAGTTCACCCAAGATCTTCCCTCAGATTTCCTGCTTGGTGCAAAGACAAAAAAGTAACTTTACCATGGATGCTTCATGCCGTCACCACCTTTGTACAGTGACCCCTCTCCGCAGCAAAAGGAGTGGGTCAAGCAGACTGGTGGGCTCCTGCTAGGGGCGACAGCAAGTACCCGGCACCAAAAAGAAAGTTCACGCCCAAAATGTTTAACTTGAATCTGATCCCACCTGTAGTCCTAACTTCCAAGTTTATAGGAGAAACGCAGAAATGTCGACAAACGGAAACGATTGACACCATGAGAAGCAGTCACACAAATCTAGAAGGTGAAATCTCTCAACAGCCTGGCTTCCTAGAGTGAACAGGAGGGAATGAGAGAGACAAGGTGACTGTCCAGAGTTACAGGACATGGCATCACAACCAGCTTCGATGTGGGCGTCTGTCATTGGACCTTGGGTTTAGATCAAACAAGCTGTCAGCCAGAGAAATATGAATATGGATAATCGTAGGTGATACTTGAAAATGTATCGGGTTAGCAGTGATAATGAGATCATGGCTGTGTAGGAAAATGTCCTTGTTTTCTAGAGATGCATAGGGGTGAAATGCCAGCATGCTCATTGCGTTTAAAATACATTAATAAAAAAAATAGATAAAGCAAAAATGGCAAACATTAAGCGTTGTTAAATCTAGATGATGGGTGTTTGGGAGTTCATCAAACTGTTCTTTATACTCATCTATATGTGTGAAATTTCTATAATAGAAAGCAAATTAAAAAAAAAATGCATCCTGCGCCTGAAATAGAACCACGGTATTCCTTCCTTTAAGAGGTAAACAGAGGGCTGCCCCATTTTCTCATTGGGGGTGGCCATGTCATATCCAACACCTGCTAGGTGCAAACTCATATTATCTCATTTCATCCATAATGCTGAGAAGTAGGTGTTACTGCCCCCATTTCAGAGATGAGGAAACTGAGGCTCAGAAGGGGTGGGTGAGTTGCCCAAAGTTGCATGGTGAGTATATGGCAGAGCCGAGGACCTTCTCAATGAGACCCACCCTGACCACTCCATCTAATTCTTCACCCCCCCCCACCATAGCTCCCCAACCCACCTGACCCTGCTTTAATTTTTCCTTTATCCACAGCACTTACCACCTCCTAATATATGCATATTCACTTATGACGTCTGTCGTCTGTCTCCCCTAGATAGAATGAAAGCTCCAAGAGAGCAGGGATCTTTGTCTTATTCACTGACGTATCCTGGGCACAGTGCCGGCCACAAAGAGGGCGTTCAAAAAATATTTGTCGCACGACCTGAAATAATACTGAATCACACAATGAGAAGGTTAGTTCCTCTTCATTTGTCTTCAGTCTTTCCAATCCCTTCAAGAAAGCCTTGGCTTGGTGCTCAGGTGTCTTTAAGCTCCTCTCTATCACTCACTCACCTACCTTAATGACAAGAGGACAGTCCTAGAGTTCAGATCCCAGGACAGATGATCCTATCTGGTGTCTGGACATTGAAATCTTCTGAGGGTCTTTTAAAAATGCCAGTGCCAGCAGCCTTTAAAAAATCCCACCTTCAGAGACTCTGGTATCATGAGTCTGGACTTAAGACACCCTCCCCACCTCCCCACACACACAAACACACACTTTTTTTTTTTTTTTTTTAAGTTCAACTGCAATGTGCAGACTGGGTTAAGAATCACTGAGCTGTAGTTAATCACACTTTTTCGTTGTTACTGTATCGAGTTTTCTGGTTGTTTTTATCTAGGGCAAATGACTTCTTAAAGTGGTAACAATGTTTCCTATTTGAACACAGCGGGAGAAAAGGGAGTAGATTTAAAGAAAGACATAAAGCAAATAGTAACTTGAGCTTTTGGCAAAATGCATGATTGATACATGTTATCTCGGTGCTGCAAACAATGAAATTGAGCCACAGAGAGGCTTCAAGTGACCCGAGTCCCACAGCTAGAAAGTAACATTTTGAACCTAGGGAATCCAGTTTGCCCTCTGCTGCTGAACGTTAGGTGCCTATTGCCGCCTAGTGGTCTCGTTTATTTGCTCCCAAGGGGAGGGCTTGGCCTTTATTTACTGGCCTACCTTTCACCTAATAGACAGCTCAGCCCTTCACAATTTGGGGGGAATCCTCTTTCTGATCTCCAGCATGTTCCCTGTACCCACCAGGTTCTTGCCAGCCACAAATGCACACACAGCCAGCATACTGAACATGACCAAGCTGGAGCACAGCCCAGTGGCCAGTTGGAGTCCCATCTTACATGAACTTCAACTCGGAGCGGGTCTTCTATATCACATTGAAGCCTGTGTCCCTTATCCCAGAGGCAATGGGGAGCCGTGACTGGTATGAGAGCAGACCCAGAATAGGTGCAACAAAGTATTTCCCCGGGGAAAGGGCAGCACAGCGGACGTCTGGTATTTTCACTGTGAAACAATCCCTGAGCCAGAGCCAATATGAGCCTGTAAGTCCCTTTGGTGTGAATTTTTAAATGGCAGCCCTTCCGGGAGAATGCTAACCCATGACGGGGCATACGACTTGAGGGGGAACCTCAACCCCCAACCCCCACTCGCCCCCACCTGCCCCTCTCAGACGCCAGTTAGAGGGGGGCTCCCTCCTGGCAAGAGGAAGCACAGGTCCCAACCCAGCCAATCAAAGGACTGTGCCTCTCTGGCTCCCGGGACTGGTTTAGTGGGGTCGGGCATGACCTAAGACCGGCTGAGAGCGGCTCTGGGAGCCGCTCACAAATTTTAGTTGTGGAGAAACTCACATAACATAAAACCAACCGTTAATGATGTTAAAGAATATATACAATTCAGTGGCATTGCGACCACCATCCGTAGCTAGCTCCAAAACATACTCTTTACCCCAAAAGGAAACTCATCCCCATTAGCTGTCACTCCCCGTTCCCTCCTCTCAGCTCCTGGCACCCACGCATCCACTTCCTGTGTCTGTGGCTTTGCCTGTTCTGGACATTTCATATCAGTGAAATCACAAACCACGTGGCCTTTTGTGTCTGGCTTCTGTCTCAGAGCATCGTGTGTTCAGTGCTTCACCCCTTTTTATAGCAGAATAATATTCCATTGCATGGTCACACCACATTTGGTTTATCCATTCATCCCCCGATAGACACGAGAGCGAGGGGGACACAGAATCCGAAGCAGCTCCAGGCTCCGAGCTGTCAGCAGAGAGCCTGACGCCGGGCTCGAACTCATGACTCATCGTGACCTGAGCCACGAACCGTGAGATCGTGACCTGAGCCGAAGTCGAACGCTTCACCGACTGAGCCACCCAAGTGCCCCATCAATTTACATTTCTATCAGCAATGTGCAAGTGTCCCATTTTCTCCACGTTCATTTTTCTGGGTTTTTTTTTTTTAATTTATTTATGACCAACTTCATAGATACGAAATGGCATCTCATGGCTTTGATTTACATTTCTCTAATGACATTGAGCATGTCCCCTTGGAGCTTCAGTATGTACTTTTCAATTTGGAAGGATGTGAAGCCTAGCGCTGCTGAAAGCCGCCCCCCCCCCCCATGAGGTAGACCAGAGGGGTGGAGGGAGACCGACCCTGGTGATGTCACTCGGAAGCCTGGACCCGGCCGTATCTGCAGCTTGCTTCTTCACCTCGAATGTTTATATGCTGATTGTCCTTTTGTCAGTTCAGCCAGCTGGAGTGCAACGCTTTAGCCTTTGCTACAAAGAGTCCTCCCTGATGGTGCCCGGGGCTTGCCAAGATCACACAGCTAGTTCAAGTTAGACGAGCCCAGTATCCAGGCCTCCCACCTGCCCGCTGCCTCTATGCCCCAAGAGGAGGCTGTGAGGAGGGGTCGGTTGGGGACACACTGTTGCCATGCACTTAGGGACAGAGGCTTGGGTGGGAGGGACGGGAACAGATTTACCTCCACTCAAAGTTTTGAACTAAGGTTCTTCACGTCCCTCTAGAGACTCTCTTGCGAGCACAGCTCCTCTCCCCCACCGAAAACGCCGAGGCGACATTTTGCAGACAATTTTGCAAGTTGGCAGAAACACCCTCCCCTCTCTGCCCCTCTCTTCCTACCACCATCCATCCTGGGACCAGAGGTGAAGAACCTCAGGCTTCTAGAACAAGAAATCCCACAGGCCTCTGGAGGCAGTGGGCCTGAGATCCCGGTTTGATCCTCCAGCTGACTAACTGCGGGGCGAGGGACTTTGGGGGAAGGACAGACCGGGTTCACACCCGGGCTGTGTGGTCCTGGGCAAGTTGCTTGCCCTCTCTGAGACACATCTATAAAACGAGAATATTTGTGTAGGGGCGCCTGGGTGGCGCAGTCGGTTAAGCGTCCGACTTCAGCCAGGTCACGATCTCGCGGTCCGTGAGTTCGAGCCCCGCGTCGGGCTCTGGGCTGATGGCTCAGAGCCTGGAGCCTGTTTCTGATTCTGTGTCTCCCTCTCTCTCTGCCCCTCCCCCGTTCATGCTCTGTCTCTCTCTGTCCCAAAAATAAATAAAATGTTGAAAAAAAATTTTTTTAAACGAGAATATTTGTGTCTATCTGAAGGGCTGTGGGAGGGGGGTTAGGTTCGATGATGTGTGTCCTTGGCATATAGCACACGGTACTCAATAAACGTGAGTAGAGTAGAGGCTTTCAATTAGAGCGGAGGCTAGCCCAGCTCTCCAGCAGGCCAGAGGCCCGATGGGCTAGCCTCTACTCCTCTGGGAGTGAGCGATGGCCTGGATGCCAGACAATCTTCCTTTGCAAAGAATGTCAAGTGGCCCATGGGTACCAAACCCAGCCCGGGCCCTCCGGTTACGAATTTCTTGCCCTTTCCTAACCTCCAGCTCATCCACACCCTGGCAGTTACACACCTGCCATTCTTTCTCCCCAGCACGGCCTCGCCAAGTTCTCCAGGATGGCTGGTCTCCTCTGGTCATGGAAGTTCATCCGGAAAGCGCACCCCCCACCCCCACCCCGAGCACCCACTTGAAAGGGCTGCTTCCCCACCTCACGATTCTCTGAGACATCACCTGCTTTATCCCCGTGTCTGGGGATTTATAGTGTCTGGAAATGCCTTCTGTGTCTTCGTATTTGTCCAACAGGTGTCTCCGCGTGACAGCAGGGACATCGTATGTCTTTGCTGTCTCGTATCAGCAATGGGTAGTGTCAGACATAAAGCATCTGTCCAACTCCACGCGCATTTGTCAAAGAGGTGAATGAACGAACGGGAAAACAGATGCCAAGCACATTTTCATATTACAGACAAGATGCTTCCGTTTCAAAGGTAGGAAAAATCACTTCCCCCAGATGAGACAACTAGGAAATCACGGAGCAGGATTCAAGCTTAGCTCTGCCCGACTCCGAGCCTGGTGCTCTTTATATTTCTTTTAAATGTTTATTTATTTTTGAGAGACAGAGCACGAGCGGGGGAGGGGCAGAGAGAGAGGGAGACGCAGAATCGGAAACAGGCTCCGAGCTGTCAGCACGGAGCCTGACGCGGGGCTCGAAGTCACAAACCGCGAGCTCATTGCATGGCCGAGGACAGGTCCAGCAGTGACCACCGCTATTTATGAGATGCCCGGGGACCAAGCCCCCGCCTGAGGCCACTCGCAGTGGATGCCGGGTGATCGCAGCCCGTGGGGACCCAGCCTCACAAAGTGAACACAAAAGAGGAACTGAAAGAGAATAAGGGCGGGTCGTGGAGTGGACCTATGCCGGGCAGCTCCCCCAGGTCATCAGACTAGTGCACGGAAGGGTCGCAAGGTCCCCTGTCTTGGGGCGGGGCCGCGCAGGACGAGGAGGAAGGGAAAAGGGAGCTGGAGGAAAGAACCGTGAGTGTCTCTCGGACTCCCGATCCAGTCCTCCTTCCTCAAGACACAGGGGGCTTGACTTGGCGGGTGGGTGGCTGGTCAAGAAGCTGGCAGACATCAGCAGTTCTTGTCATCACTGACTTCCACGTAGGGGAGCCCCACGGGCCACGTGTCCCGAGGCCAGTAGCGGACTTTGAGGGTGTGACCTGGCATCTCATACCTGGCGTCCACCAAGGCCATGGTAACCATGCCATAAGGAAAGGTGATGCTGATAAGCACATGCCTGTGGGGAGCAGGGAGGAGGTGGTGAGGGCACAGGATGTCCCCGAGCTAGCCCGATGCCCCCTCCTTACTTCTCACGGGTCCTGACCTCTCACGGGTCCTGACCTTCCAAAGGCACCTTCTGGACTTGACCCTTGACTGAAACCAGCACCCCCCCCCCCCCCACACACACACACACACACACACACACACAGGCACTCCCAGTATCTGTGCCTCCCCTCTCTGCCCCCAGGCTCCTGCTCCAAGCTCTGGCATCTTGAGATTTTCTGGTTCTGGGGCTCCGTACCGCCAGGGCAGGTCCTTACCAGATGCTGTGCAGGTAAAAGAAGTTAATCCACTGCCAGAAACTGCAAAGCACGCGGTCACTGATCCAGCTGGTCAGCGCGAAAGCCCACAACACTACAGACACCTCCATTATGTGCCGAAGCTCCTTGTTGTTGGTCCTAGGGAGAGAAGGAGGAAGATCAGAGCCTGGCTCAGATAGCAGAGCCTGAAGGGGCTGATGGGAAATTCCTCCATCCAAGGAGATGAGGCCGGGAGCAGGGAATGACCAAGAGCACAAGGGGGAGGGGGCCCAATTTGTGCTCGTCGTTAACGTTTGCTGAGCACTTATAGGATGCCAGGCACAGTTCTGAAAGTCCTTCGGGTGAGGGGCGCCTGGGTGCCTCAGCTGGTTAAGCTTCTGACTCTTGATTTCATCCCGGGTCATGCTCTCACGGTTCGTGAGTTCAAGCCCCACATCGGGCCCTGTGCTGACAGTGCCGATCCTGCCTGGGATTCTCTCTCTCTCCCTCTCTCTGCCCCTCCCGAGCTCTCCTGCACGCACGCTCTTTCTCTACCTCTCACACACAACATAAATAGACTTAAAAAACAATAATAAAAGTCCTTCAGATCAAAACTCGGCCCTGACAGCAACGCTATGATTCTCGTTTTGTAGACGAGAGAGCAGGTGTGCGAGATGAAGGTATCGCTCTAACCGCACCCAAGGTTACACAGCCAGCAAGTGGAGCTGGGGGCTGAGCCAGGCTTGTCGGACTGCGGATTTCTTAATCAACTAGCCCTTCCCTGTTTGTGAGTTTGGGGCTCTGAGTGTGTGCACAACTGTGAGTCAGTGCAGGAGAATTCCTGTCCGTGTGGCTATGAGAACGTGCATGTCCATATGTGGGAGGGTAAATTCCCTGGAGGCCACGTCTCTTGGGACGACTCACGCTCAGAATCTGTTTCCCCAGCAGTAAAGCTGACTCCGTGTCCTTCAGGAAAGAGCATATGAGGGAATATGGTGAGGCAACGACTCCTTTATAGTTTACAGTGCGGGCCCTGCCCCCTAGTCTAAAACGGGACAGTTTGAACGTCACATGAGAAAAAGAACAGTGAGGAAGCACTGGCGAAATCTGAACAGACTCTGAGGTCTAGTTAATACCATCGTCAGGGGCGCCTGGGTGGCTTGGTCGGTTAAGTGTCCGACTTCGGCTCAGGTCACGATCTCACGGTCCATGAGTTCGAGCCCCGTGTCGGGCTCTGGGCTTACAGCTCGGAGCCTGGAACCTGCTTCCGATTCTGTGTCTCCCTCTCTCTCTGCCCCTCCCCCCTTCATGCTCTGTCTCTCTCTGTCTCAAAAATAAATAAACGTTAAAAAAATATTTAACTCGGGGCGCCTGGGTGGCTCAGTCGGTTAAGCGTCCGACTTCAGCCAGGTCACGATCTCGCGGTCCGTGGGTTCGAGCCCCGCGTCGGGCTCTGGGCTGACGGCTCAGAGCCTGGAGCCTGCTTCCGATTCTGTGTCTCCCTCTCTCTCTGCCCCTCCCCTGTTCATGCTCTGTCTCTCTCTGTCTCAAAAATAAACGTTAAAGATTAAAAAAAAAAATACCATCGTCAATTTCCTCCTTTTGAGGCTGTACTATGGTTACACGAGACACTCCGTCGGAGAGGCTGGGGGGAGCTGGGGGAAGGAGACACAAAACTCTGTACTATTTTTGAAACTTGCCAGGAGTCTGCAATCACTTCAAAATAAAAAGTTAAAAATAGGTGATTGCAATGGATCGAAACACCTCTAGGACGTAAACATCCATGCGTTCATAATAATACTTTTTAAAAACTTTCCAGGGTCCCTACTCAGGTAAGGCCCCAACTCATTACGCTAGAAATGGATCAGTTAAAGGAAACACTCAATGATCAGTCCTATCATTCCTGTGCAAAGCGTATTTCAAGGTTGATGAGTGAAAGTCCTTCTTAATGGAAGAACTCCAGATAATCACTGCAGGAGGAATTATGGGCCTGATCAATCTTGATAGCACTAGATGTGGAATAACCACTCATTATGGGGGCCTAATGGGATGGAAAAAGAAGCACCCAGAACCACACATGACACATTCTGGCCTAAAAACATGTAAACCTAAATCCAGATCTAAATATTAATTTTCAGGAAATACCAAATATGTGTCTATATCTATCTATATCTATTCTATATCTATATCATCTATATCTATATCTATATCTATATCTATAAACACAACGAAAGACACCACACAGGAAGCAGACAGCTACATCTAGAATATTCTACAGGAGAAAATGATGAAGCTTTTCTGTTATCAAATCAGAGGCAGGAAGACAGGGGAGGGAGGCAGAGACTGCTATGATATAAAGAAAACCTAAGAGACTGTGTTTGCATCCCGCTTTCAACATGACTAGTTGTAAGAAGACATCTTGAGAAACTGAGGCAACATCACTTCAATCTGGGTATTGCCAACTTGGTTAGCACTGTGTGCGCCATGTCTAACATTTGTCCCTCTAGATCCTTCCCTGACGCTCTCCGGTCTGCCCTATGCCCCAGGGAGGTGGGATGCTGAGTTGTGTGGACTGAATGCTTCCAGTTAGATTAGCTAATGGCTAATGGCTTCTAGTTGGATAGCCAATGGTTCCCAGTTGAGTTGGCCAATGGTTTCCAGTTGGAGTAGCCAATGGTTTCCAGCTGGGTTGGCCAATGGAGCACCCCCGCAAGAAACCAAAGGATACGGGGAGAGTACGGTTAGAATATTTGTTTCTCTGGCCTCCTCCATGTGGGGTTGACTCAGGCTAGCTGCAACCAGCAACTGGAGGTGACATTTCTTGCTAAGGAGACCCTCTCCACAGGGCTCTCTCCTTCCAGACTCTTGTAATCACTCCCTCCCAATACCCCCACCCAGGTATCCTGATGGTCATAGGAGCCCACGCTTATTAGCACAGGGGTTCTAAATTCCCTGGTGATTTTCCTACATCTGCCATCTCCTTTGTAAATAAGACTTTTATTCAGCTCTCCTCAAATGGCCCCATTTGAGAGTCCCCCCCCCATCCTGTCAAGGTCTAGTATGGGTTAAAAAAAAACCCTCTTAATTAGGAGGGTTAAATCCTGAAAAGTTCATAGGTGCCAGTGTATGGAATCTGGGGGAATGCATAACACAAACGCTGACAGTTGTCGAGGCTGGTTAGTGGGCACACGGAGGTTTACGGTGCAATAGTCTCTGCTTGTATGTATGTTTGGGGTTTTCATGATGCAAAGGACAAGTTCTGCTATCAGACAGCCTTAGGTTCCAATCCCAAGAGTATTCCTTGTTAGTAGATGATCTTGCGGAAAGCATATCCTCTCCTTGAGCCTGGAGTCAATGAGCACTCTGGGGGGGGGGGGGGGGGTGCCTGGAGGGTGATGGGAGCCACCTCCCCGGGCAGGCGCCTGCGGCCACTACCCACTTCTTATACTCCTGGAACACGATGTAGAGGATGTGCACAGCGATGCTGTTGAGAGCGTATGCGTTGATCACAGGTCTCAGGAAGGACAGGAAGGTGCTGACCACCGTGGTGATGAGGACCAGACAGGTGAACCGGGGCCTGAGGGAAGAAGGACTCAGCTGTGGGAGGGTGACTGGAAGGGTCCGGGGGGGGGGGGGGGGGTTTGGTTAGGCAGGGTCAGGAGATCTTGCGGCAGAGGTAGATGAGCAAAGGGAAGGGGTTCTAGGGAGCCCAACTGAACTCAGAAAAAGATCTTGAGGCTCCCGGGTGGGCTCAGCAGAGGGTCCCAAGAAGGGTCGAGGCAGGGTCTGAAGGGGGTGGATAGGGTGATGAGAGGGTCTCAGGGCAGCTCAAAGGGCTTAGCCAGCTCAGCAGACGGTGCCAGGGCCCAGGCCAGACAAGGGGTTAAGGGAGGTCAGGTAGGATTAAGGAAGGAATTACGTTGGCCCCAGACACTATCAGAAGAGGGGTCCAGGGAGCCTCAGGTGGGTCAAATAGCATCAGGAGAGAGATTCAGAGGGGTCTCGGGTCAAGAGAGGGGTCCAGGAGGATCCAAGGAAAGTTCCAGGGAGCCCAGGTGATAGGCTCATGGAAGAGGTCCCTGGGGCCCAGGTAAGCTTAAGTATGGGTTTGGTGGGTTTAGACACATTCTGGAGAAGGTACCAAGCTATCCAGGTAGGATCAGGGGAGGATTTCCAGAGGAGGAGTTAAGTCAGATAAGGTCGGGAGAAAGCCCTGATCCGGCTGGTAGGGGGAGGGATTCCAAGGAACTCAGATGGGCTCTGACGGGACCCACAGAGGACTGGCCCCAGCCCCACCTGTTCTCTCCTAGGAAAGTGGGGAAGTAACAGCGAGGCATCCATATGCTGTAACTACTGGCCAGCAGCCACAGGATAGCAATCTCATCCAGCAGCTGGCCCAGAAGGCTAAGCGTCATGTGGAAATACATGGAGAATAGGCCTGGAGCAAGAGACAAAGGTAGGTGGTCAAGAGGGGCTGTCCCCCCAGCCCCCGCCACCCCAGTGTCGCAGACCCCCACCTACCTATGACCATAAAGAGGATCCAAGTGATATAAATGCAGCGGGAGCGTTTCTGGGCATAGGGGTACATCAGAAACATCATGAGAGGCCCAAAGATGAAGAAGGTGACATTGCTGAACTGGAAAAGAGCAGGACATGGGGAGGGGGTCGTCAGAAGCGGAGGCAGAGGAGGAGACCCTCAGTCCTTAGCCATTGGTCATCTGCCCTCTTTCAGGCAGGTAAAGAACCCAGAGTCTGGAAATCGGTCAGTTGATATTGGCAGTCAACCAGTCATCAGCAGATTCGTCACTCCGTTTTTCTATGAGTTCATTCACTCATTCATTCAACGAATGTGGCAAAGTCTATCTACTGACTTCCTGCAGCATGCATTCTCCCCCTTTTCCTTCTAGAAATAAGATCCCCAACTTTAAGACACAGCGACGCAACTAAAGACTACATTTCCCAGCCTTCCTTGCAACTCTCTGAGCCCTTGTGACTTGGTCTGACCAATGGGATACAAATGCAAATGAATCTATTTTTTTTTTTTTTTTTGCATTAATGTGAGCTACATTTATCAGGATTTGCTGTATTAGAAAGTGAAACTGGGGCGCCTGGGTGGCTTAGTTGGTTAAGCGTCCGACTTCAGCTCAGGTCATGATCTCACGGTCCGTGAGTTCGAGCCCCGCGTCGGGCTCTGGGCTGACAGCTCAGAGCCTGGAGCCTGTTTCAGATTCTGTGTCTCTCTCTCTCTCTGCCCCTTCCCTGTTCATTCTCTGTCTCTCTCTGTCTCAGAAATAAATGTTAAAAAAATTAAAAAAAAAAAAAAAAGAAAGTGAAACTGAGGGGGCGCCTGGGTGGCTCAGTCAGGTAAGCGTCCGACTTCGGCTCAGGTCATGATCTCACGGTGTGTGAGTTCGAGCCCCGCGTCGGCTCTGTGCTGACAGCTCAGAGCCTGGAGCCTGCTTCGGATTCTGTGTCTCCCTTTCTCTCTGCCCCTCCCCCGCTCATTCTCTCTCTCTCTCTCTCTC